TTTTATATTAATATAATATATTTCAGTGAATATTTTCTATAGTTTTTTTTTTTTCGATAGAACAAAAGATAAGATAATATTTTGTTAGACTTTTCGCGAAAGCAAACTTTTATTTTATCTATTAGCAAGCATGAAAAGTGATTAAAGACAATGTATATTAACGATACGTGACGTGGTGCGTGACGTAGATGTATGCGTTATCACGTTTCTATTAATCAAGCCTGCTATCTAGACTCCTTCAAATTTATAATCAAAGATAAGAATCGCATAGGCATTGCTATTTTGTATGTTTTTGAATGCGGATAAGAAACAGATTGGTTTTTATAGTATCGCATCGATGGTTGCCGGTTTTTCTTTTTTAACTTTTAAAGTAATACCGTTGATATTTTTAAAACACATAATTACACTGCAAAAATGTGAAGTGCACAGGTACTTAATACAAATTTTCTCGCAATATTATGTATTTTTCTTTGTTTTATCGCGCGTTGCTTGTATAATATTTTAAAAATTAGATATACGAAAATAAATATTTGTAGTATAAAATCATTATATTAAGATTGTTATAAAATATAGAGTTTTATAATTAAACATTTAATAGATATTTGTGTTATATAATTATTTTTATTATATTTAAAAAGTTATGTATAAATATAAACAATTTAATATTTACAATTAAACCAATTAAAGTTATTGAAAATAATAAGCATAAAAAAAGTATCATCATATAATAATCTCTGTTACAAACATTTATCTAAATATTCTCTCTAAGTGATGATTTAAACTTGCTATTTTTAATCTGCAAATAAATCGCTATTTCATCGGAATTCTCTTTTTTATTTCTAAGCTTATTGTTCTGCATGCTTTAATTTTATACTGTTTGTTTATAATGTATCGTCATGTATCGCATTTGTTCAATTTTTATAAAGTATTATTAAAATTTGTAAAAAAAGGTTGAAAAAAATTCTATGAAATATTGTAGCAAAAAGAAGAAAAGCCATACGGAAGTGCGCGCATAAATAGATCGAAAAGGGAAGCATGCAAATTTCCTTTACGGAGAATATTCGATTAAGGGAACGTAACAAAAAAAGAAAAGACAAGGAAAAAAAAAGCGAAGAATAATGTAGTGTAGGGTGGCCCTCGCCGTCAGCCCTCTCCGTTCTCACAGGACTTTGTTATAAAACCCGCAATCAAATCCCTCCTCCCCGCGATTTATACGACAAAAACTACACGAGCATCGATTCTAAATATACATTGCGTTTTCTGCGTTATCGCTGACGCGGCCTTTCGTCGAGAGACCAAACCCTTTCAATAATTTGCGCGGCGTTTACCGCAAAGTTTCTCACGGGGATGATGAAAGGGGATGCTCGATCGACTCGATAGTCCTCCGTTCCACGGTCTGATTAAATATGAAAATCACTGGGCGCGCTTCTCGAAGTCGCGAGTATAAGCGCCGGTTGAATAATTGATTCGCGACGCGCAATCGCGGTAAGCACAATTTCTCTCATTCGGTTGATTTTCCTCGACGAGTCAAGATCTAGCCGCTCGTGAGCCCCGTCTATAGACAGGTGTCTATAGACTGTCTATAGATACTTATATCTCTAGACAGATCCGAGACAGTCAAATGGAAAACGGCTGTCAAAACCGACGAGATTCTCGCGATTGAGGTATGCGGATGCATTTGCGATTGTCATTATTTCGGGCTGTCCGGAAAGTGCCAGGTAAGAGAAGGTGCTAACCGGTTTCGCGTCACACGTGTCGGGAAAACGGTAAAGCAAAAAGAAATCAATGGCAAACGATGTGACTTGCATGTTGCGTGTCTTCAAAGTGTAAAGCCGCTTTGCAATAAATTTTCTTCACTTTACTATCGCTCCCCTTCGTGTTAATCGTTGTTTCTTAAGTGTGCTCGGGGCTTATGTACTCGTTATAGTCGAGTTCAGACAGAGTGAAACGCAATCAGAGTTGACGAACGACAATTATTCTGATTGAATTGTCAGGGAGAGATAGATTTGATGTTTCGGGAAAGTTGAGAGAAGTTTGATGCTATAGGTTCAAAAGCGACCATGTTTTACTAAGTTAAATGCTAAACGAGTAATTTGCGAAACAACCCGTTGACAGGACTCTCCGCGAATTTTTTCGCACCGCTTCTATGTGATATAAATTCTTTGCTTATTATTTTCTCGGATCAGAAATCGATATTTCTATCGTTTTTCCTGGTTTCTTACAGATATTAATTTAATAAGATAAATAAAGTATAACTGTCATCTATTTATTATTACATTTACTGGTCACTTATTTACTGTTACATTTACTTCCACAGAAAACAGTGATTAATACCTTGAAGCGACTTGCGACAAATCGATAACATGACTACGACTAACAGTTTTATCACAAGACATTTTTTTCGGTTGCAGAACTTTTTCTACCTAAACACGAACGAACTTTTCTACCCTTAGTTTATCTTCGACCAGCAATTAAAAAAACGGATATAAGTCTCGTATGTTCTTCGTCCTAACATCTACTGTTTTTGAATTAGCAATAGTCTGCTCGAAACACGAAAAAGAGAGTTTAATAGAACTTGATGCTTTAAACTGTCTAGAATAGACACGCAGTTTATACAGACAGATCGTAAAATTCTTTTACCTAATTTCATGTGTTATGTAGTGAATCGCGATAATATCCAGAGGCAATCACCTATAATAACTTATATGACATCTATGTTCGTAAATTGTCAAGTTATTTTTTAACGTGACGAAATTTATTAAATTAAAAAATTATAATATTCATGTGTATATTGTATATGTAAAGTCCAATATAAATTTATAAAAAAATTAAACAATATTGAATAATTTTTTGCATTTAAATTTAAATTATAAATATCACTTTTTATGCCATTAAAGAAAAATGTATTAATAAAATTTTTTAGAAAATAATAGATTGAACGAGAAAACACGTGTAATGTCATGTGATTCAAAGCATAGGATAAAAATTACGATATTGCTTATTTATAAACGCTTTTTTCTTAAAAAGCAATCTTATCCGACATCTTTGCTATCATTGTAGGAACTCTAGTGCGCCAGCACACAGACGCCTTATCGTAGATAGACTTTTGCTACTGGTATATCGAGCGTTATCTCTCGATCGATGATCAGTATCAGAATGATTGTCCCTTCAAACATAACGTAATACGATTCTCGCAGTAGTTTGATACAATTAAGGATTCGTGTAAAATGTGTGTGAGACATTTATTGTAAATCGCTTTAGAAAAATTGCGAAAAATGCATGCTGAAAATAAAGCATTAATTTATTTATTATGCCGGGGACATAAATGTCTTATGAAATAATTGATAAACTTCGAGCTGCCGATGTATCGTTATTCATGCAGCATGCAGCATGATCTATCGTTATTTATGCAGTTGCTATTTTAATTTTATTGCTCTCGCGCTAATAAGGCACTAAAAAAATGAACAGACAACCGACTCTACCGGTGCTTTTCGTCTGCGGTGAGATCGAGGATAATAACATTGACAAAAAGGAATCGCAAACGTGGTATAGCGGGATTTTTAATATCATGTGCTGGCATGTACGAAAGAAATGGTGCGCTAAAAATAGAATGCAACTGGCTGAATTAACTCCGCAACTAGTAACATATAGTAGGGTACGAATTTAGTACTATATATATAATTTTTTTTAACTTCTCTTTATACAATATTCATATTTCTTTTGAAATATAATAGATTAAAGATATTATGGTAGAATAAATTAATTCTTTTCTCATAAATTGTACGAAATATTCTGTATAACGTATGGTCAATGTGCAATAAGAAATATATATTCTCATAAAGGCAGTTAAAATTGCAGTAATGTACCAGTAGTTTACTAAACAGAGTTCAAAATTGGTCTTTATCATTTTGAAGTGTGTATACAATCAAGTTAATCTCTGTTTGGTTTTATCGTCACATGTTTAATTTATGTAGGTTATAATAATACGATCTCACAATCTATTAATTTACTGCAAATGAAAGATCAAGATAAAATTCGATTTTATGAAAATGCTAAAAATGTGGAGAAATCTCCACGTGCGCGTCGTCGAGCGAAATTTTGCAAAGAACTTGAATCGACATATCTGGATAAAGAGGAACTAGTATGTATCCGGTGATATCGATGCATTAATATTAAGTCTTTGATTAGATTTTTTAGTTAAATAAAAGCATTAGTCATGGCAAATATACACACATGTAAATTATGGCAAAAAGGTCGGTTATTTCCTCCACAAATGTGTATCCATTACATCCATTACATTACATTATATATTTATTACTAAGCTTTGCAAATTATTCTGTGTTTACAGAAGGGGCCTCAAGATTTCTGTAATTATTTATTGACAGCCTCTATTCCCAGTATCGTGAAAGTAAGTATCGCGATATTTCATTTTTGTGACAGAATTGTAATAAAAGATTCGGCTTTATAGCATCTTTCACCGATGTTTGAGAATTGCATTTTCTCCTTCAATCTTCCATCAAATTGTATGATTTCTTTATTGTGTAGGTACTATTAGTATTTAGAAAAGATGATCAACAAATGGATATACTCGCTACTGCTGCAAGAAGATTGGGTTGGAGCGTGTCGGTGGCAAAAAATTTGGAGAAAGCGGTAGAACTTTTTCAAAATCGTGCTCACGAATTAGTGATTATTGATCGTAGAGGACATCATGCGGACGAAGGCGATGCTATTTGTAGGTGTGTGTATGATAGATTATTTAAATATAATATAATAGGAATATATGCGTAAAAAATATATATGAAAAGAGATTATGTAAAAATAGAAGTAAAATATTAACTTTGAATAAAATTATTTGTATGTAGGGGAAGTGTGTCATAATATATCGAATTGTCCAAATAATGTTTAAATTACAAATATCACGTTGTCTTATTTGCGCATAAAATGACTTTATTTAATTAAAACAAATTTTATTATTTTTCACAATGATTAATTTAGATATTTCTTGCGAATTATTTTATTTCGTAAATATATTAATTTCAGAGCAATCATATCAAGTCCAGTTTACCACAATTCTACCATAATAGCGCTTGTGAAGAAATCGTAAGTTTCGCCAATAATCTTTTGTATTATTTAAATCATATTTTTATTTATTTAATCTTGCGTGTCACTTATAGATATTTCATGCTCGATGAAAAAGACGATATTGTGGCACTAAACTTGTTAGAAAAAGGCTTTAGTAGAGTAAGCATTTAAACAAATACAAGAAAAATATCGTAAGAATTTTTTAGACAAATTTGTTGAGAGATTTTAAATTTATTTTTATGTTTATTTTAGGCATTGTTGGAATGTTCACATGAAGGTATAATAATAAACGAATTAGTAGGGATATATACTAGCTCATTATTGCCGAGAACACAACTCTCAGCAGCGCATGCATTGTATTTGGCACTTGATAGGTGTCGCGATATGGTGCATGTGACTAATGATAAAAACATTATACAGGTATTATTATTATACAGGTATCATCAGTAATAAATTGAAACTTGTAACGTTCTATAATTTATCAATTTTCCTTAATTTGCAATATTTTTGATTAAAATAAGAAAATTATATATATTTTATTGCATGCATTATATTTATATGAGATTCATATTTCTGTAAATATGAATATACATATGTATATCGATTATAATTTCACGTTATATATATTTTTAGTTTCAAAATAAAATCAGCGAAAAATTGTTAGGATATAAAACAGAGGAAATGATGGGGAGAAATCTCTCGGAGATAATCTATTACGAAAATTTTCCTCTTATAAAGCAGCAATTGAGTAAAGGCCGGGAATTCGAAGGAAATATGAATTGCAGGAGAAAAAACAATCAAATGATTACGATTAATTGCAGGATAATTCCGTTTTGTACTACGTTAAAGTACGTTATTGTACTAATCCAAACACTATATATATCTTTTTCATTAATAAAATATTATTGTTTAGTATTAATTTATAAATTTTGATAAAAATTATTCATAATTCAAAATTCAAATATTCATAGTTCAAATTTTTAACATTTTTAATTATTAATATATAAAATATACTACTTATTATATAAAATACTATTATTATTAAAATCCTCCCCTTTTATTCTCTCAGTTTATATATATCAACGATTCTATTACTTATTTCATCAATTATTATATCTATCTATAGAAAACCGACTCATTACATATACGTATACGACACTACGTATCTATCAGACAACTCAGCGCCGATAAGCCCTGTTGGTGGCCCATCGCATACTCCGTTCAGACCAAGCGTATTAAATACGCGAAAACCCTCGGATGTCAGATCTAGTATAAGTGAAGGTAAAATACTTTTACAAATTATTAAATAATATCTTTTATATTAATCAATTGTATCAACAATAATTAGATGAATCAATCATTTAATTGATACGAATAATTATTACTTTAATTTACCAATATAATATAATATTGTTTAATATAAATAATACATAAAGATGCAAATTAGGTTATCAGCAATTCATAGTTATTTTTATGTTAAAAAGTTATTGTGTGCCTGATATCCATGTTATATCATCGTCATAAACATGTCAAGAAATTTAATAGTGTTAAACTGAAACATCTATTATAGGTATCAGATAATAGGAAAGCTTTATATATCTATTGTTTTAATATTAATCTGCATTATTGATCTATTGGATCAAGCATTCCATTAATATATCACATAATTATTTTGATATTTCTATAAAATTACATTTTAATCCACATAATCTTGATCATTTTTAAAATGATTTAGAAATTATTTTATGTGATAATTTTTTATAATTCTAAATTAACAGACTTTAATATAAAAGATCGTTCTTCTGTCATAGGCCGCAGGCGATCTAGTTTGCAAAAATTGCATACTTTGCAACTAGAAGCTCCTATCACTAAAGTCATTACGCTACTTTCAAATGCAGCTGCTGATACTAACTCGGAAACAGCGGCGCAGATCGATAAAGTACGTAATTAATTGCAGTGTCTCCCTATAATTATGTTTATCCAATTTAATGTATGTTGTGCCCTGTTATAAGCCATCTACGTTTTTCAGGCGATCAATATCTTAAAGACGACGGAACTTTACGTGCCGCATCTTAAAGAGGATAGAGCGACGTACAGTGATCCAGTCGTGACGGATCTCGTTGGCGCGTTACTTGCTGTAAGAATTTTACTGCTTTCTATTTTATATGGTAAACCTTATTATGATATATGTAAATTGCGCATTTACACATGCAAGATTCTTCTTTTACTTTTCCCAATTTGTCGAAAGTTCCAATTTGATGTTTAATTAACAGTCTCCGCGCGCAGCATGGGAGTCCAGAAGATCATCGACAGATTCCGCGAAATTATCCACTGTCAAAGTTATCCCGAGTCCAGCCAATTCGCGTGTACAGATGAAGAATTTCCGGGGGCCGCAAGAAATTGCAGAGATACTTGATAAGAGTCTCGACTGGAATTTTGAGATATTTAAACTTGAAATGCTGACAGAGAAGAGGTGAACTATTAATATATATTTTTTCACGATATATTGTAAGTTTTATAATTATTAATTTGTATCAGACATCATTACTTTCCACGAGATATTTGATCTGAGATATATTTCATTCTCTTTAGAAATATTTCACTATTATAATATCTGTTTGACAAACGGTTTCTTAAAACTTTTTTGAGTTTTTTTTTTTGTATATATGTCATTGTTTTGCGTATATGTATACTGCTTGAATTGATTGTGCCATGATCTCGTTAAATGTTACAACAGGCCGCTTGTTTTTTTGGGATTGACAATCATGAATTTGTATCAAGTGCCCGCGAAATTAAATTGCGATGAGAAAACTCTGCAAAACTGGCTAGCCATTATCGAGCACAATTATAACTCGGACAATAGCTATCATAATTCAACGCATGCGGCCGACGTTTTGCAAGCAACTGCGAGATTTATGCAATCGGAGAGACTTAAGGAAATTTTGGAGCCTTTAGACGAAGTTGCTGCTTTAATCGCCGCGGCTGCGCACGATATTGATCATCCTGGACGATCCAGGTAATCCACTTTCGATAAAACAAAATATGTTAGTATAAAAAAATATTAAAGTTTTCAATTTTATATAATTAAATATATTTATATTCCGTTTATTTTCATATTTTAAATCTATGTAACACATTTGAAAGTTATTGAAAATTGTTTGTAGTTATAGTTTCTTAAATTTTTTGGCAAAGTTTTTTAGCAGAAATTTAAATAGCGTCTATCACTAGTCAAAAATGTTCAATCTTAATATTAAATATATTGATCAGATCCAGAAGTTAAATTTTCTTTCAGTCAATTCCTTTGCAACGCCAATAATCGCTTGGCAATACTCTACAATGATCTGTCAGTTCTCGAGTCACATCACGCAGCCTTAACATTTAAACTGTCATTATCTGACGATAATGTAAATATTTTTAAGGTAAGTTTCTCAGTACATCTTGTATCGTAAATTTGAAAGTGAATATGTAAAATAATCCGAAGATGTAATACTGAATTAAATACCTGATTTAGAATTTGGATCAAGACGCATACAAACAATTGCGACAAAATGTCATTGACATGATTCTGGCAACCGAAATGACGAAGCATTTCGAGCATCTGGCGAAGTTCATGAATTTCTGCAGTACGAGAATCAACGACGAACAGGAGGTATATATTTTTATTTTTGTATTAAAATTATCCAATATCTCCATCTTATATATATACATATATATATTATTTTGTTATATATTATTACAAATTTTCATCAAACTGAGATTTATAATACATTACTATGTCTATTTTACTTTCTATTATCTTCTTAATTAATGTTATGTAGATAATGTTGTGTAGATAACTCAAGATACACAAGAAAAAAATTTAATTAATTACAACGTGGCAATAAATTTAAAAAATTCTTTTGCAGACTTATTCAGATTCTCTAGATATGTCCGTAGTATTGCAACCAGATAACGTAATATTGGTTAAAAGAATGATGATCAAATGCGCGGACGTATCTAATCCAACGCGACCGTTAAAGTGTTGCGTTGAATGGGCGAGACGAATCGCCGAGGAATATTTTAGCCAGGTACACTAATAATAAAAAGAAATATTATTTATTTTAAAGAAAATGGTTTACTATTTGCACGCGCGTTTATGATAAACTACCGATAATTTTTAGACCGATGAAGAGAAAAAATTAAAGATGCCAGTCGTAATGCCGATGTTCGATAGAATGACGTGTTCAATACCAAAATCGCAAATTGGTTTCGTCGATTATATTATCAACGATATGATCGAGGCTTGGGATGGTTTGTTTCTCCTCATTATTTTTGCAGATTTCATTAAAAAAGATATTGAAATGTTTATTTTCCTATATTTACTTTACAGTGTTTATTGACATGCCGGAGATGGTAGGCTATATGCGGCGCAACTACGACAAATGGAAAAAATATAATGTGAGACATCAGCTTTCAATTTAATTTCTAATTTAAATACTTTGAAATAATTTATTTAATTTTATTTTAGAATTTTATAATAATACTGTTTTTTTCAATATTACATTCTATTTTGAAGAGTTCGAGAAAGATAAATATCTAATTGTATTTTAATATTTAAATATGTCATACCTTTAAAATTTCTCTTGGTTTAATTTTATACTTATCCACTAACATATCTTGTTTTAAATTGTATGTTTTATAGGAACAGGGTATATCTACTTTGCAGGATGTTGAGAAGCTACAACAACATCCCGACATGCAAATACCGTGATCATCTTAATGAAAAGCACGTCGTTTTGCTTTTCGTTATATTACGCTACGATTATTGCAAAAAACACACATGTATAGCATTCATATATTTAAAGATAGAATAGCGATATGTTATATATACGCTTTCAAATAATTTTTACGAAAATATGTGTAATTCATCGTTTTTCTCAGACATGTCTCTCACACCTAACATATTTTCCTTATTTATATATAACTCAATTTTCCTCAATGACACTTGCCCTATTACTATTTTAAACATACGTGACGCACATTAGCAAGATATGTATAGTATAAGAAAAGAAATACCTTTTTACATGTAGCTTCCGCGACTGTGTTACTTCGAATGAGATCTTTGCTGCGTTCGGTGTATGCTGATCATTAAATTATACATCTGGGAGCAGCTAGTAATTAAATAAGAATTTCCAAGGACATTGTGCATTTGAATCATTTGCGACCTTCTCAGCCAGAACTTAATACCTCTTCTAATTTTATCTGCGTTAAACTTCGACGATATAGTGGCTATTTTGGAAGGATTGGTATAATAATTTAAATTGAAAAAGATTCACACACTAATGTATATCGGATTCCACTTTATTGTTTCTCTCTTAGCCAAAAAATGGTATCGGGCCTATATCTATGCGCTGCATAAATACAAAATTAAATAAAGTCAGATATAAAGTAAGTATAAGCCATATCAAGATGGAATTTCGCGCAATTTAGTCAACGGACCATATATGATTTCGATTATTTCGGGCAAATTACAAATTTTTCATTTTTAATACAAAAAATATACGCATTCGCTCTCTCAATCTAAGATTTCTCTGACATAACATTTTTGCATCTAAAAATAATAATTTTGTTTAATGCTGTTATAAACCGAGGAAAATCGGTATAATAACATCAATAGTCCATCGAGTTACAAGCATCGGCCTAACGGATGATTACGCATTCGTCATAAAGATTCTTATGTATGTTGATATATTATATATACACGTACGTTTTACATCATAATATACTCCCTACGGGACACGCACGAGTAATCATGGTCGTTTTATCCAGTAAGTATCAATATTTAATTTTTATCCCTAGACAAAGAGACAATCAGAGTATCGAGTCATTTTTAGAGTTTTTTATCTGAAGTCTGACACGTAAACATGGAACATTTCACAATATTTCGGAATAAAGATAGAGAGATAAGAGAATCTCTTAAGATATAAGATTCTTGTCTGAAATTTATCGATTAATTATTATTGTTCGTTGGATGTGGTATCGAGTGACAAATAGTTACGCGCGGTAAGTAGTACCGAGCGGTATAAGTAGATAAAGTAATAACTTAATTACGAGCTTATCATTACTACTATAATGCCACATAATATGATTCGTCCGAAGAGCTAAGAATTACGCTTAAAATTAGATTACTCGCGTTTCCTCCCGATACACTTGCCACAAGTGCTTCGTCAAATCTATGATATGAAATTGCGCTTCGCTTTTAGATATCTCGAATAAATAACTTTTCAAAATCAAAATTTACCATATCAATAACTATTTGTTTTAAAGTCTGAAATTCTTTCGATTTTGATCAGTGAGATATTTCGATAATGATCATCCAGCTGGGATATATCGTAGAGATATTTTTGTTTGCGTGACTTAAAAATGCGAGTGCATATTTTTAGACGAGACGTGGATCAGGAGCTATTTTCGCACTCAAGATTGTTTTATTAGCACTTGCCGCTAGTAGATGGAATTCGCGGAGTAACGAAGTAGTCTAGTATGCAACATTTTTATACTTAAGTATATTACCCTTAACATTAATAGTGCATACATGTAAGTTTTACATTTTATTTTATTTTTTTTTTTTTTTTGGCGACGTGCACGTCATTTTTTATAATTGTTTTCTAGTTGACTTTACGCCTTTCCCCTATAGGGGAAAGTTTATCAATCAAGCTTATATAATCCGCGCGTAGCAATCCGCTTAAATCGCCGTCTCTATTGATTGTGGTTCATTGTTCATCGTTCAGAATTATGTCGCGAAGCGATGCACGTAAAACTCGTCTATTTCTCGTGCGGACAAAATGTGCTCGCGAAATTATCGATCAAAATGAATTAAATCTGAAGAATCCAAAGGTACTGACGGCTCGATAAGATCTATACGAGAATCTACATCGTTAACTGTCGCGCAAAGCTAACATCGGTGTTAATCATACAACTTTCTTCATACATATATATGTATATTATATATTAAAATATTAAACGTGAAAGAAGCAAATCGAAGGAAATGTATCTCAAGAAAAAAAAAAAAATGCGTATAATCCAATATACTAAAATAACACGCTTTGGGACGTAGCCCATATTTAATAAATGTGCTTTTAGCACTCTCCGTGTTTTCTAAACTTCTGGTAACTCTTGTCGATCTAAATATTTGCTCACGAGGTCAAAGTATTTCTCATCTATTCTCCGATTGGCATTATTCGCGGTAATCAAAAAATATCTTCAGCATTCGCTTTGTGCATTGATTTGTGAATAAGCCAACCACAGACTTCTATATATTATACAATAATAATATATAGAAGTATGTAAGATATAATATGTAGAAGTCTATGAAGCCAAGCTTTAGGTTAATTGTCACGATCGAAAATTTCTATCTGGGATATCTCTATTTCTCGTGATTGCTCAGCAAAATATGATCGAGTAAAAAACTTCAGAAAAACAGTTCGTTAATACCCCGTTCCGTTTGGTGATGCAGTTCTCTAATTCGCTACAGTACAGAAGATGCAACATCTCATCTCGACAATGAGATTATGCGTTCTAATTCTTTCTTCGGATTTCCGGACTGTTTTTAAAACACGGTTGTCTAAAATTAATAAGCGGTACCGTCCACTATTTTACGCCATCTCGCAATCGTGATTATTCAGAAGAGATTGCAAATTCGATGTCGCGGAAACAGAAAGGTTCGACAACACATCGACGATGTCTTAGATAGTTAGAGATAATGTCGCTGTCACAGACGAATTGCATCGAGTATATTTTTGATACATCATCGGTTCATATCGTCAGGCCTTTCAGTTTAGATGATAAATCGCGAATGTTTCGTAGCGATCGCGAGATGACGAATGCGGTGAAAATCGAAGTATGTAATCGTCACGAAACAGCGAGGATGTACATACAAAGTGGCTCGAGTTAAGCGCAAGTATGACCGAGTCGGTTTTAATAGCCAAAATTCTGTAGCGTTCGTAGGAAGTAATCTTGAATGTATTTTTGGAGAAGATAGTCAGTGAACGTCACGTGACATTGTAGGAGCACGCCTCCGCATCGCGGCGGCGTCGAGACGCCGACCGACGTCGGTTATTTAAGATAGATCCGCGATTTGCATTGAGTCAGAGAGCAGACGACTCCGAAATTGTCTGGTAAACTTCGAGTTGACCGATCGCCTCTTCACGTTCCACATAAGGTACGACAGTAGTGTTCTCGTTACGTTTTCTTTTCCTTTTATCGCGTGTGTGTACTACTGGAATTCTCTCGTTATCTCGCCGCGTCCTCACTAGCCCTAATAGGTATTATGAGTCTAATCGCTTAGCGTATAACTTACGGTAATCTTAGAATTATTTAAATATAATGTTATTCGTCTACGTCTCCATTTCTTTTGTTTCGTCTTTTAGATCAGGATGTGAGCTTATTGGTACGTTTTGTGCGAAATAATCTTAAGCTAACGGTCCTTATGTCCTCGTCAAAATCTCCCCCACCGAGCTACAACCGCAAACGGATGTCAAGGATACATATCCTTAATCAAAGAAGAAAGAAAGGGATAATCGTGAAGAATTTTAGCGCGAGTCACATGATCTTTAATCCTCGATTTGATTGTGTTCGGTGATCGTAAATCGCGTGTGTAGATACGTATGATGCTTAGCAACGTTTGGGGGCGTGTGACTTTAAACTAGTACCTGCGCTGTCTGATTAATCGTCATCGTTGTTCCATCGTCATAGTTGGTCGATACTTAAATCCCGATAATCTATTGTCTCGAGACAATTTCATTTAAATTCTCTATACGTAATCTTACGCGAACGGACTAGCTTTGCTGTTTCGAGCTCTCGCTTGGCTTATGACTATAGTCTAAACATTATTGAGTTCTTTGTATTTTTTCGAGTCTCCGTGTCGTGAATAGAGAAACCGGTTTCTATGCGATCTAATGATAACCTCCCTTCCATTTATTGGACGTTGCCTTTAATTCTGTCAATTCTATTGCCACGCGAGAGAAGTCGTATTCCGAGGTATTTAGTATCATCTGCAGTGCTGTATTGCGTTACAAGATGCGTCAAAAGATCCGTTATAGATTTATCTATTGCCTATGAGAGGCAAGAATTTAAATGTGAGTGAAGAGCTTCTCGTACGTGTAACGTTTAACGAAGGGAGAGTGTCGTTTAATGTCGATTTTTACGTACAGCACGTGACTGACGTATCGGCTAACGCGTTCTTACATTCCCCTAAAACTATCACTTAACAAACGAGTAATCTAGAGTAATTAATAACGATGTGTGCGGTCGAGAAAACGAGACTCTCTCATTGTGACCTTTAGTTATAAATGCGTAGGGTATCTCACCGACGACTTATATTCGTCCATTCCGGAATGGATGACGCGGATTTCGATAAGTCTTTCATAAATCGAGATGTACTTCGGCCGTTGTGTAGGATTGTGTAATTAGCTTCTTTTACGCTACAATTATGTGCCAATATGTCAATAGTGTTCCAAGTAAGTCCGAGAGATTAATTACACTTAACGATAGTCCTAGAAACTATCCGATGAATTATACACGAGAGATTTATCGCCTTTGTGCAGTCTAGCTTAATAATTCTTAGCATCTATACGTAGAATTAACGTATATATATATATATATATATATATTATATATGCTATAG